ACCGCGATCCCCAGACCTTAATCCAATTGATTTTTTTGTATGGGGTCATATAAAACAGCTTGTTTACCGCACTGTCGCGCAAGATGAAAATGATCTCAGAGAAAGAATCCACGATGCTGCAGATGCAATAAATAATACAGAAGGGATTATGTTTGATGTCTATCAGTCGTTGGTTCGGCGATGCAGAGCATGTATAAGAGCCAATGGGGGTCATTTTGAACATGTTATTTAATATTGTTTTATGTTAGTGTTATTTGTTATGTTGTTATTTACCGTTTTGTATTATTACTTAAAATTGTAAAAACCGTACCTACAAACTATTACCTATTATTAGCATCTAAGATACAGCAATAAGAAAAAGAATATTTCATTGTTTGCTGTTAACATTTTTACATGAAACGTTCCATTTTAATTTAATACATAATATTAAAGTAATATTACTTTGAAATGTATTTGCTATCATTACGAAACTAAATGCTTTATCAGAAGAACGGCCTCCCACATTATTGAGATTTTCGGCAGAACGAGACACTTTACCGATTTCAAACAAGTATTATGCCAAATTGTCCAAGGAATCTAAAAATTTACCCCAAATAAGTATTAGGTCATTGGCGTAGAAGTTGGGGCAAAAAAATCCCGCTACCCTACCCGTTTCTACGCCACTGACCTACAAAAAATTTGTAAATTTTGCAGTAAATTATAGACATTCGTAAGTATTAACATCATACCAGATTTGAATCAAATTGTTACAACCATACCAGAGATATCATAAATAATATGATGTAAAAAAACGGCCAATATGGCTCTGTAGAGCGAAAACGGTGAGACATAGAACCTTGGTTTATAAGGCAATTCTTAATTACTTATCGAGTTCTATCTGTGGTTAAAATTTGATTCACTCAAACTCAAACACCCTGTATAATAAATGATATACTTAAAACTTACCTTATAATTTGCATTCTTGCCATCACAGTAAAACAAATTTAAGTCAGACGATAGAAACTAATCGCTGTACTAGTTGTACTACTCCTGGAAAACTACTCCAGCAATGTGATGATAAACAATTTGTCAGGAACTAATGAATTGTCAAGAACCAAAGGTTGGAAGTGAGGCTGGACATTGCACTGCTTGCATTCCAATTCTACTTCACACCCTTGGGTAACCGTGATACAATACAGTGTACCATATTCCACTTTTTTTCTATTTTAATCTAAGCGCTGATGAACGTGGTAATTATAAATATCTGTAAATAAGTTTATGTAATTTATTGTTAAAACGAAGATTTTAATTTCATTACTATGACATTTGTTATACTTCCATTTAGGAGTTTTATTAAAAGATTTATATATTTTGTGTGAGAAGAAAATTACTGAAAGTTAATACAACGTATTTTTTCCGTATATAAAAGGAAGTATAAATAGGTATTAATGTTTTTCTTCCTAATATGAAATATATAAACAAATGCATTTCTAAAAATGTCATTTATTATTTTCAAAAGTTGGATAATTTAGATAATAAAAATAGGAATAATAATCAAAATTTACAGCTTACCCTGAAATTCACACCAAAACAAAACCGACAATACCGATATATTTCCGACAGATGACAGAAATTCTGGATCGCGCCCAGGGAGACTAGATAAGGAGCACGAACTCCACATACTTCTATACATATACAAAGCATTTTGAAAGGGAATTGAAGCCAAAAAGTGGGGGTGTTGTACTTTGTGTATTATACGCACTGTCGTATAATGTGAGATGTGAGCGAGCGACTTCAGATTTCGACTATCTTTCGAATCCAAGTTCCAACGCCCGGAACAGCGCTCCAGTGCAACCTCTCTATGCAGAACATGAAGCCATAACAGACATATTCCACGATGTTTCTAATCTCGAGCCCGAAGTCGCTGTCAGAGGAGAAAGTAAATATTTCACCTATGTTTCCAATCCAAACCTCAAAATCCAGCACCGAGCTCCAAGTCCGATTTCTAGCATAAGAAATCAAAGCACAAGCATTAAAGTGCATAATGTTTCTACAGAGGAGAAAGTAAAAATTTCACCTATGTTTCCAATCCAAACCTCAAAATCCAGCACCGAGCTCCAAGTCCGATTTCTAGCATAAGAAATCAAAGCACAAGCATTAAAGTGCATAATGTTTCTAATTCTGAAGCCGAAGCCGCTGTCAGAGGATGTTTTCAATCCACACCTCAAAATCCAGGACAACACCCTAAGTCCGATATCCAGTATCACAAATCAAAGCAAAAGCATTAATATGCACAATGTTTCCATTATCCAGGACGATATCACTACCAGAGAAAAAGATAAAAAATCGACAAGGTTTCGAATCAAGCCGCCATCCGGCCGCCTCGAGTCGAGGTGAAACAGTATCCACGGAAACAAACAAAACCGACTATGTTTCAGATTTCCCGCATCGCAGAGCCGCAGTTGTGCCGAGCCAAGCCGAATAGCAGAAATCGCCGATGTTTCCAATCCACCTGCGAGACGCCGCAATTCGTCGAAAAAGCGCGCCCTGGTGATGGAGACGAGATGGACCACATCGAGGACGACCGATGGGAAGCCGACAACGATCCAGCAGCCACCTTCCGTCATTTCGTCATGAAATCGACCAAGTTTCCAATGGTCCCCGGCCTTGCAGGGGAGCACCGGTCAAGATCCTTATCGCGATGGATCGGCCTTATCGCGATGGATCGTCAACTGTGGGATTCTGCAGTTATATAACCGGATCGACGTATCCGGCCAGTCTCTGTTGTGGGACTCTCCAAATTTCAGTTGCGACATTAAAGCCATTGTAGTCAATATTACAGCCTTTCGCAATCTTTAACCCAATTGTTAGAGTCAGATTTATGTTTAATAAATCTATATNTATATATATATATATATATATATATAGGTTCATTTGACTTCCTTACAGCAATTGTTACTAGTGGACTTCCATGCATATACACACTGTATATAAACACATCTGTTCACCATACTACTTTGCGTCTGCTCTCTTTTGCGGTTCAGCAGACTTCCACAAATATGTATAATACTACTCAGAGCCCATTTTACTCTACTGCAGTGTTAAGTAACTTCCAGGCAGTGTTGCCACTTAATTTATACATTCTACATAAAAAGTCGTCAACGTATAACTCAATGTACATGTTGGTTGACACAAATAAGACGTAGAAACATTTTCTTGTTTGTTCTGTTGTTGAGACAAATAATAATAAGAGTGCGGGCTGTATTTCTAATAACAATAGTAATAGATTTATTAGTCCAACAGGAAATACCCACTTATAGAACTAATGCATAAAAAACTTAAAACTAAACCAGTAAACCGTGATACAAAAGAGTCACAATACGTACACAGTGTGTCCCGTCTTTCAGGTTAACACCTCTGGAAATGTAAGAAGGCTGTGGAATTTCCGCAAGCTAATTTTTTTACAAATAGTACCCTGAAGGGAGGTTATATTCTACTAATCATTTTATTGATGTAACAAAAGCCTGGCCTACTATGATTTTTTCACCTTGCAGTGAGAACTTTAAAAATAAATACAACGTTCTTAAAGCCGTTCTGATGAAGTATACACAATTTTGAAATAGGTCGTGTTATTGATACCTTGGTTTGTTTTGAGTTTTACCTCCTTGGTTTGATCCGGGAAAAACTTGGAGAATTTGTCACTGTAAATAATCGATGAATTTCCTCTTCGCGCAATAAATTTCTTTAATAACGTTAGTAAAAAAGCATCTGTCGTCGACTTCCTCATCTTATTCTTATATCAGAATATTTTTCAAAAGGTTAATTTAATGCGTTAATTAATGCGCTTTCTCGCGTTACATAGGTATTCATTTTTGTGTATGTTTTGATTATTATTTTTATGTAAGAATGGTTCAATTGTAGTGTGTTTAATTAAAGCTTCCATTATTTCTTTTCGAACTATAAGACAATCAAAGTAATTTAATTTGTCAAATTTGTAAACTATCAATTTATTATTTAACAATTACGTACTGTATTTGATTATTGATATACCAGTATATAACAGTATTGCTTTTAACAAACTGAAATCATACATGTATAGGTATAAAAATAACAAAGCTGTAACTATGTGAAAAGCAATAAACAATCGTCAAAGGCCACCTGTTGTCCACACCATGGGAAGCGGGAGCAGGCGGGATATTCGGGAGCCTTATCGGCAATTTAAAAATTCCGAAGATATTAAATTTACAATCTTTATTATCTTATAAAATTCACGAGATTTGCACCGCGCAGTTTATTTTGCTGGTAATGTTTTATGATAATTTTTATGGACTCAAAGCAATTATAGCATTGAAAATCGACTACCACCACGACCAATACGTTTCTTATGACAATGTGCCATGTTGACATTTCACCCTATGGTCTCGACAAGTTTGTTGTCAGTCGTCATACTTGAAATTTTTACATTATTATTACTACATTATTATTATTACATTTACATGTAATTATTTATTGACACGTCTATGCAAGTTTTATTTACCTGTTTAAACCCTGTGTGCTGTGTGTGTGTTTGTGTTGTGAGTTCGAGTTCTTTTCTCGCTTCTCTTCTCAGTCAGTCAGTCGTGTCATGTGTAATGCGTACGTACTGTCTGTATTTTGCTTGTTAACATAATTCGATAGATATGATGAATTATACTGAAAAGTATGAAAAAAATGAAGTTGTCACATCTCCTGGTGAAATTGAGAAGATTACGGAGCGGTATATTAACCGACGTATTTCACGTAATGTAAAGTAAGTAAATATTTACATTATAGTGTGTTCTAATTTAATTAACACCACTAAAACATGACTTTTATTAATGAATGGATTTACACTAATTTTTTTCTTTTATTTTTACATATTATTTTCAAAGTAAGCCGAAGCACTTGCGAGATACGCCATAATATTATTGTTAATAAAAATAGAAGTAGGCCGTTTTTCGAATTTTGCGACTTGTTATTTTGAGCATATTCTTATAAAAAACGAATATAAATCGGTTCATAAATAAACATTTGTCTGGGAAAATTACGCTACTGTTTTTTATTACGTCTTCTTTTTAGAAATGAAATAGGGATACGAACTACGCAAGACGGCCTTATCTACGAATTTCAGTTAAAAGAATACGATGAAAAGGATGTCATTTGCAAAATCGATGTATTTGGAAACTTGGTGGTGAGTAACTGCTATCAATAAA